TCTCCTCTACACTGATGGCGACTGAAGACGACAGAATGGATGCGTATAACGGCGTAGCTGTGATTCTCCTTGTGATACAAAGTTTTTTCATTTTCTTTCGAACCGGATGAAAAAAATGTCATGTCCTTACATGTGCCAAATTCGTCTTGAAATCCTCTAACAGACAGGCGTAAAAAAATTATATGTTCAGTTGCAAAAATTCAAGGTAACCTTGAAAAAACATTTAAAAAAAGAGTTGACCAGTAATTTTTCACTATCACGTTAAAGCTCTCTTGAAACCATGCAAAAGCTGATAAAAACATTTTCGATCGGACTGCTAATAACAAAGTAATGTCTACTGATCACGACCCGTGGTTCACCCTGTATATGCACGTGCCATTTTGCAATTGTAAAAGTTGCTAAAAATTTGCAAAACAGTCGTGTGTGGATTATTCAAAAGTAAAGCAAAAGTTTGTATTCTTTATCTCATTTTTCGAATAGTACAGCTCGTCTATAAGACAGAATTTATTGTTTTCTAGGTGGCAACAGTGTTAAAAGATACGAAAGGCAATTGTAGATATAAAAAGATACGAGTTTTGTTTGTTATAGTAAATTTAATTTCTACAGTTGCAAAGCCATTCATGCAAGTTATTGATCGTTGGTGGATATTCGCAAACTGCTGGTAGTTTATTCCAACATGGCGTCGTTACTGCTGGAGTCAAAAAGTCACGTTCAGAATTCGCTCCGTTAAAGCCGGAAAAAAAATGAGAAAACTTGTAAATTCGAAGGAAAGCAACTTTAAGGTGCAAATAGTAAGGCAATTTTTAAAAAAATCTTTAATACAGTTTCTATGTTATTAGTCATTAAGCTGGCGCAGTATATGAAACAAATAAGGAAAAAAAAAACTTCACTTTTTTAAATTGAAAAATATATGTAGGTCGTTAAGGTTATCAATTTAAAAGAAATAAAAAAGCAAACAAATCGATATTTTATATTATCTTGCACGATGAGTCTGCACATTCGATAGCTGTGTCGCAATTGCAAAAATTGTCGCAGCGACAAATCGTGAGACAGCCAATGGCTGATTCGACTGCCAAGTGCAATTATTGTCTAGTGAAGTTTCTGCAGTCTAAAAAGCTACACTGTATGTACAAGTTAAATCTGATCGGCGAGATTCTTCCAGTTCTATTGAAAGACTGTGGACTGTTTGCCAAAGCAGATAGGCGGCTACGTGTACAATTTTCATGATTGAAAAAGACGCCGACAGAGGGACAAGCGTCGTTGAGTTTCTCGTAGTGAGACTGATAAAAACGAATCTTCCAAACATCGGTCAAATTTTTTCTTGGCTCTCAACTGCATTCTATACATATACATATATACAATACTTAAGACTGATATTATTATAAGATAATAATACACAAGCCAATAACAAGAGGACACCATAAATATCGTCATTGAATAAAATACTTACCGTAGCGAAATAAAAAATTTATTAAAAATTAAAAATTTATTTATCTAATTATTTGGGTAATACCATTAAGAGTTTAAAAAATTAACCACTTCTGAACGTAAGTATCGAGTGGACGCTCATATCTATTAATAAATTCTATTACGAGTGATGTATTAAAAAATTATTGATAATAACACTAGACATTCAAACGGTACACTAAGGTGCATCCGAGATTGAATAAAAGTTCATAAAATTCTACACACACGTCTTTCTCTAACCTATAGAAGCATGTAAAACAGCATACCTAATGCACACCAGCTAAATTGTCGTATGCTCTGATGTCAGATGTTCTGAGAGAATTCCAGATCTTTTTACCAAATTAAAAATTTTCCTTGATTTTATCTATTTTTTTTTTTCGTCATGCATCGAAAACCCGAACCTTACCTGCCATCGGACTTCAAAGATCAATCCAGTGCTTGGAACGCGCTTTCATACGGTTCACGAGCGGCAGCCATTTATCGAAAAAGTTGGGCTAACGAGAACAAACACAGAAGAGTAGCACAGAACGTTCTGGATACAAGATACTTAACATCATTGGCCCATTACACATAATAATACTGAACTACAGTAAGAATATAGACTAGCAACCTCAATTACGGCATAACAATAGGTTCTCAAAAATTTTCAATGCGATAACCGTTCTAACGGTCGTTGTTGCTCTATGGACTAAAATTTAAAATTTCAACAACACCGATTAAAATTACTCTAACTAATTCTAACACATGGTGAGCCAATACAAGGAATTCCACATATAAAAATGACATGCACTATCAATTGACATATATATTTTTTACTCTATGCCAACCTAACCTAACATTGAGATTGATGAAAATTCTGCAGTGATTAATGAACGACCTGAATATGTATCATATGAAAAATTAAACAGAATCGTTCGACGCTTTAATTTACACATTTAAAAGTTTGTCAAATAAGAACAGTGATACAGTGTACAGTCTTTTTTATAATATAGCTATCGATTCAAAATAAATATTTTTAAATATTTCAAATAAAATTCAGATGATTTTATCATTATTTTCTAACAGACACATACCGTGAATCAATCGCCATGTCATTACTTCAATTACACTTTTGAAGAGATTTATTGTAGATGAACCTCCCCCCCCCCCCCCCC